TTACCCTGAACCATCCTGGACCCCCTTTTCTTACCCTGAACCATCCTGGACCCCCTTTTCCCTTACCCTGAAACCCCCTTTTCTTTTTCCGTCCTGAAATTTGCCTGCTTTAGCTAGTCTCCTGCTGTAGGTTGATTTATCCCTCGTACCCCCTGTTCTTCGCTCTATTTCTGTACTTTTTTTTTTTTTTTTTTTTCACACACACACATAGCCCCTTCTATTCTGAGGGGCACCAGTCCAGTTACTTATCACCGGCAAGCAGATGAACATGAGTCATTGTGACCACCAGTACGGCCAAAAAATGAAAACGGGCACAGAAAGCAGCCAAGGGGACGAGGGGTGAAAGCAGTAGGCGATCGGGAGACTCCCCTTGGTACCCAGTCATTGGCTACTAATTCCACTCCCACCCCCACCTATTGCTTCCCCTGCCACCCATATACTCACCTCTACCCACCTCCCCACCCACTGTCTATGTTATGTCTTAGTGTGACCTCCTTTCACCTGTATATTCATCCCTCTATCCACCTCGCCACCTACCGTCTATATTATGTCTTAGTGTGACCTTCTTTCACCTGTATCCATAAATTTTGATATCCACGCTGCTCTATTCCATACCACATTATCATCGCTATATCCATGCCAAATCCTACCCCTCCATCCCTGCACTCTCTTCTTCTTGTCCTGAGTACTGACAAGATCTCCTTCAAACTTGATGATCTCCTCATTTTACCCCTTCCTCCCTGCCCTGAGTACTTGCTGCATTTTACCCCTTCCTCCCTGCCCTGAGTACTTGCTGCATTTTACCCCTTCCTCCCTGCCCTGAGTACTTGCTCAAACTTGATGCTCTCCTCATTTTACCCCTTCATCCCAACTCTGAGTGCTCACTGGATGTCCTTCAAACTTGATCATCTCCTCATTTTACCCCTTCATCAATGCCCTGATTACTCACTGTCCTTCGAACTTTATGATCTCCTCATTCCCCCCTCTCCCCCATCCCTGGTACCCTGTCTTGTTTTGTCCTGAATACTACCTGGATCTCCTTCAAACTGATGATCTCCTCATCTTACCCCTTTCTCCCTACGTTGAGTACTTACTGGGTGTCCTTCAAACTGGGTGATCTCCTCAGATACACTTCCATCCTTACCGTGTTTTCTTGTGCCGACTACCTACACTATCTCTTGAAAGCAATGTCATTTCTTGCTGTCGCTTTCTTACTCATCCGTCACGTGATGTCTTATCCACTCATCCTTGTTTTATCCTCCTTTCTCATCTCTCAGTTATCCCACTGATCTCAGACTTTCACTGTTTTTTTTTTTGGAGGTTGGGGGGGGGGGGGGAGACAATGCTCCGATCTATTCATGGGGGAGCAACACGTGATGAAAACCGGGTTCGGTTTGTTATTCTCGTTGACGTCTGTTTTTTTTGAGTCTGTTGGCGTGTCTGTTTTTTTGAGTCTGTTGGGAGTGGACCTCTCTTTCAGGAAGGTAAGGTTTTCTGATTGCCCTTTCAGCTTTCAGCAAGGGTAGCCATAATGCGAGGCCACTGCCTCTATGAGCCCATTCAGCCCCCATTTTGGAGCCAGTCGGCGGCCCTAAGTGAAGGCAGGCTCGACGAGGCCCTCAGGGCCTTATTTCGGCCACTGCGCAACTAAGGAAATTCAGGCAGTTGTGCAGCACCAGTTGGTTGAGAGAACCCAGGCCCTGGGCCGCCTGTGTGAATGTATGGAAAGCAGGCCCTGGGCTGGATACGGGTACTGGGCCAAACACACGCCAAAGGCAGTTGGGTGCATGCAACCACTTCAGGCCCCAGGCCTGTTCTCGATCGTGCTGGGCCTCAGGCTACCGGGGCCTACTGGAAGCTTCCTGGGACTGGACGCAGACAGGGCACTTCGATATAGCAAAGGGCTGCTGCACTAATTGCTGGCTGGTGCCTACGTGCTCACGGGCGAGCAGGGAAGGAGCAGGCAGCCATAGCCGAGCTGCGCTGCTGTAGGCTGGGTTTGGCGCAGGGTGGTCCTTGGGTGCAAGTGGCATCTGTGTGTTGGGGAACAAGGTTGTGAGTAAGGCGAGAGACATACCTGGTGCTGGAAGCGTGCGGCATTGGTCGCTATATGCTCGTACTTCGGGAGAGCTGTTGTCGTCAACTTCGGCATTGTAGTATAGGCTAGATAGGATCTGCCACATGTAGTCTGGGCGCCGAGCGCCAGATAGGATATCAACTCTGGTTCTTCGTTGATGATGATGATGGGACTATTTCAGCATTGTCAATTATGAACTCTTGGTGTGTTCTTATTTCTTGAATCTCGTGATGCAATTCTGCTGTTGGTTCGAGGTCACGACTATCTGGACTCGTATGTATGATGCTGTTTGATTGCTGAATTTCGCTATTGCTCATCTTCCTTGCAATAACCACTACTTAGTGAAAGCTCAGTTAGGGTTCCCCTTCCCTTCGAGGCATGATGATGGTGGCAGTTATCTCCACTGAGGGGAGTGCGGAGGCACACGAAGGTCGCCATGTGGGACCTTCTCATGGTTGACGATAGGGCGGCTATCATCATGCAGTGCGCTTCAGTGTCTTCAGTGGCTTTGGAGGCTATCATCATGGCAGCTTCGGTGTCTTCCATCATGCACGCGCTTCAGTGTCTTCAGTGTCTTCAGTGTCTTCAGTGTCTTCAGTGTCTTCAGTGTCTTCAGTGGCTATCATCATGCAGTGCGCGGATTTCCTGGTTTCATCCGAATGTCTTGATTTCCAGTAATGTCCGGTTAATCCGGACATGTCCAGATGGATGTATATGTCCGGATTTTAAAAAGAAAGAAGAAGAAGAAGAAGAAGAAGAAGAAGAAGAAGAAGAAGAAGAAGAAGAAGAGAGTAAAAAGAGTGTGCTCGCACGTACAAAGTGCTATACAAAGTATTACAAACATATTGAAAACAACGTAAGGGCGTGGGGTAAACGGGGGAAAATAGGTACGACAATCACAAGGTCATGCGTGGGAAGTAGGGAAGTGGAAAAATACTCTCTCTCTCTCTGTCTCTCTCTCTCGCGCGTGCACGCGTGCGTAAAGAAACTGGATGACGAGGACCAAGACGAGCAGGAGGATGAGTAGGTGGAAGAGGACAGAGACGTCGAGGACCTAACCGATGATAATATGATAATGACAGGGAGTACAAGAAGCAAGTTTTGACGAAGAAGACGACAAAGATCCCCCGCCAAAAAAAGAACACGGTAAAAGCATGCCACTGGAACGGGCAGGGGTGGGGGGGAGGAGGTTATAGCAAAGTGCATGACGAGGACCAAGACGTGGAGGAGGAGGATGATCTGGAGCAGGACAGATATGAGAACTACGATGGCAAAGATCTGGAACAAAAAAGACGGTAAAAGGGTGCCACGTGGCACGGGCAGGGGCCAGGGGGGGAGAGGTCATAGGAAGTACATGACGACCAAGATGAGGGGGAGGAGGACGAAGACGTGGAGGAGCAGGAGGAGGACAAAGACGTGGATGAGGAGCAGGAGGACGATGAAGCTGTGGTGGAGGAGGAAGATCAGGAGGACGAAGACAAGGAACACAACAACAAAGATCCGAAAAAGAAAAAGACAGAAAAAGGGCGCCACATGGCACAAGCAGGGGCAGGGGGGGGGAGGTTATCTCAAGTACATGACGACGACCAAGACGAGGGGGAGGAGAACGAGGGCGAGGAGAGCGAAGACGTGGAGGAGGAGCAGGAGGAGGACAAAGACGTGGACGAGTCGGAGGAGGACAAAGACGTGGACGAGTCGGAGGAGGACGAAGACATGGAGGAGGAGGAGCAGGAGAAGGACGAAGATGAGGAACACGATGACAAAAATCAGAAGAAAAAAAGACAGGAAAAGGGTGCCAGGTGGCACGAGCAGGGACGGCGGGGGGGTAGGTTATAGCGAGTACATGACAGCGACCAAAGTGAGGAGGAGAAGGATGAGGGGGAGGAGGACGAAGACGTGAGGAGCGGGAGAAGGACGAAGATGTGGAGGAGGAGGAGGGGCAGGAGGATGAAGACGTGGAGGAGGAGCTGGAGGAGGGCGGAGATGTGGAGGAGGACGAAGACGTGGAGGAGGCGGATGGAGGAGCAGAAAGGAGGACGAAGACGTGGAGGCGGCGGTCATATGCTCACTTTTTGACCTCATCTATCTACAGTACAATACATTCTGAGGAGCCCTTCCGAATTTGTCAGCCCTTATTCTCTTGGCAGTGAATGAACAGATCTGAGGTTCAGAACATGAAGCTTGATCTCCGTCTCTCTCTCTTTCCTTCCCCTCCCTCC